ATAATGATTTTTCTAAAATAGATATAGATTTTTGAAATGGATCTTAGGCTTACTTAGAGCCACTAATGTACTTTAGTTCATGATATGCTAAACATGCTCTTTACTGTAAAGAATGCTTTAACTTCTCTTTCAATGTGATTTAAGCCAACAAAGTGCTACTTCATGCTTATCACTTAATACTCAGCAAAACTTCTTAACAAATACTTAACAAGTATTGATCATGCTCTTTAAACTCAAAAATAAAATTCATGCTCTAGCATTTCACTTCACTGTAAACAACTAAGTTCATGTACTGTACAAACCAAATATCTCATATTCTTGACAAAATTCTCAATAACTCACAATGGATATTTAGACATGTTATTTCAAGCAAAACTTAACAAATAATGATCATGCTTTTCATTCAAATAGCTAAGCTCAAACTCTTCAACTTTCTTCACTGTAAATCATTTACAGAATACTTCAACTACATTTATCAACACAAAAACTATTGTAAAACAAGAATTTCAACTCCAAAATCAACGAAATCAACTTCTACTAGTGCGTCGTAACGAACCTGAGTGTCCGAGCCTCAAGGGCTCACGAGTTCCAATCTGATCCACACGTAGCTGAGCCACATAGGGCCCAACCAAACTTCTTTTTGGCCTGGCGGAGCTTGGTAGCGGGGCTTGAGGAGCCCCGCCACTTGGCTCCGCCAAGCGGCAGCCTTGGGCAACGGTTCTAGCTGAGAACCGTGCCCAGGGGCCAGCTCTCCACGGGACTAGCCAGCGGTCCCTGACTAGGGCCGTTGGCTAGTTTCGTGAGCTTGTCTGGTGCACAGACAGTGTGCACCAGAGGGTTTCTTCTTCACCTGCAACAAACTTTGAGCAATTCAACACTCCTAAATTCTCAACAACACAATCATAGATCAATAATAGCTCACTATTAGCTCAACAACAACAATAATCTAGCCTTTCTAAGCATTTACACTTCAATCTAGACTTCACAGAGTCAAAATAAAGCTAGTTGGGAGTCCATGGGTTATACCTTTGTTGCATCTTCTTCTTGTTGGGATTCTTCCTTCTTCCCAAGTCAGCCACTACCCCCTTTACCACCTAAATACCTCAAACAATCCACACAACAACCCTTAAGAACAAGAATCTCAGAGATGGAAAGCTAATGAATGGAAGCTAGATGGAAAATGGATGAATGGATGAGAATATGCCTAGAAACTTAATGTGTTTTTCTTTGTGTTCTTGCAGAGCTCTTGGTGGGGAAGACAGGGATGGAATCAAGAGGAAAATGTCTAATAACTATTCATTTTATAGTGGCTTAAAACCCTAGAAAGATCAACAATGATTGGTGGAGGGCAAAATGGTAATTTGGTTGATTCTCTAATGGCCCGTTTGGTTCACAGAATAGGCCGGGAATGGCATAACATTCCCAGTAATAGGCCTATTCCTTTGTTTGGTAACCATTTGTATTACCAGGAATAATATTCCTGGTAATAGCCTATTACCTCAAATAAGATAATAGCTATTACTAGGGCCCCCTTGGTATTAGCCTATTACTGAACGCTCAGGAATAGATTTTAGAATCTATTTTTTTTTTTACCCCTTTCTTTAACCTAAGTTTTTCTATCATATATATAAATTTATCCTATTTCACCACCGCCGTCGCTGCCACCACCATCGTCGCTGCCACCACCACCACCACCATCGCCGTCGCAGCCACCACCACCATCGTCGCCCCCACCATTGCCACCGCCACCACCACCACCACTACCACGCCAGCACCACCACCGCCACCACTACCATCACCACCACCACCATCGCCGCCGCCGCCACCACCACCACCGCCGCCACCACCACCATCGCCGCCCCAACCACTACCACCGCCACCACCACCACTACCACCCCAACACCACCAGCGCCACCACTACCATCACCGCCGCCACCACCACCACCGCCGCCGCCACAACCGTTGCCGCCCCACCACCAGTGCCACAACCGTCACCGTCACCACCACCACCGTCGCCCCCCCCCCCCCCCCCCCCCCCCCCCCCCCCCCCTCACTGCCACCGCCACCACCACCACCACTACCACCCCTAGCACCACCACCACCACCGCCACCACCACCACCATCGCCATCGCCACCATCACATATTTTTATAAGGGTATTTATGTCTTTTAAAACATATTTCATTTCTATTCATTAAATCAACCAAAAACTGTAATATAATTCCTAAAGTCTATTCTTTCCGCGAACCAAACAATAGAATATAATTCCTATTCTATTCCTTGTCTATTCATCATATGGAATAGCATTCCCATTACCTCAAAATTCATTCCGTGAACCAAACGTGCTGTAAAATTTCAGGCAAATGCATTGGAAGCTTGTGGTCCACCATGCAACATGAACCAAAGTCTAGAAAAGTGTTTCTAAATAGGTTGAAGGTCAAAATACATTTTTCCAAAAATACTTTCTAAATAACCACTTGGTTTAGGTTTCTCAGATTTCTCCCAGTTTCACTCAGATTGACTTTTGGGTCAAAACTTGGTACGCAATGTATCCGAGAATTTAGGATTTTAGAAATAGAATAAGTCCCGGTGTTGAATTTATTTAAAACGTAACTCAAAATAATTAATTCATACACCATTTTCATCATAAAATTTTGATAGAGTGAAAAATGACTATTTTAAAATTTCTTAAAACCGAATTTAGAAAATTAAATCTTGGGTTGTCACAATTGCGCTGACTGACAATCCTCTCCATAATTAGTGGCAATCCTTTCCATATAATTACTGTTTTTATATCGCTCATTATGCTGGCTAAATGCCAAGTACCTTGTGCTTAGATGACATCTAGGTTAGACTCCCATATGGGAGGTTGTGATTTTGAGTCTCAGTGGATGCGTTATTGGCTCTTTATGCTATTGTAATAGAGTCAATAGCATTCAAAAAAAAATTATTATACTCGCTAAATAATGAAAATATATTACCAAAAAAGAAAATATATCAGCACTTATCTAAATAATTATTTATCCTTTTCATATAATTAATTTCGTATTGATTATAATAATAATATTATTATTATTATATTATTATTATTACTATTACTATTATTATTATTATTATTATTATTATTATTATTATTATTATTATTATTATTATTATTATTATTATTATTATTAACATGCCATCATTTTGTTTTTATTTTATGGGTTCAAAAACGACAAAAGCGGTAACGTACTTATTTCACACCTGACGGGAAAAATAGATTCACAATTTTTTTTTTGAAAAATTCGTAAAAGAAATCAACATAATCTGGAAATACGTAAAAAAAATTGAATTTTCTATCGAAAAAGTGACAAAAACATAAAGTTAAATGAAAAAAATAACATGCCAGCATTTTGTTTTTATTTTATTTTTCCATGTAAGCAAATTAGATTGGTTACTTGTTATAAACTTGCTAAAAATGCTAGATGAAAAATAATTGAGAGTGTAATGACCTAGATGGACCATATTTTAATTCATAGTGCTATATGAACAACGAATGTTAGTACATTGGGTTTATTTGACCCTTCTGCCTTTTTTATACTTATGGGGCTCGATTATACTATATACATACGGCAAATTATTGTGTGGATCATGGTCCACACAATATTATGTGGACCATAACAAAAAGTACATTTTTAATATACTAAATTTACATTATTTTTGTACTGAATGTACATTATACAATATAATGTACACTCAGAATAAAATAATGTACATTCCCTGAATACAATGTACATTATTTTTGTACTGAATGTACATTATTTTACAGTAGACAAAATATGGTTCATACAACTTGTGTGAACCATGGTCCACACAATAATGATTGATATACTTACTCAGAGGGTCAATTTTAACATTTATATATATATATATATATATATATATATATATATATATATATATATATATATATATATAAAAGGATAAGGGCCAAATAAGACATTTAACTTTTATGAAAAGTGCAATTAAACCATCAAACTCTAAAAAGCTCCAAATAAGCCATTGAACTTGAAAGAATGATGCAATCAAATCATTTATTTTTTACTTCTTATAGTAGGTTAACAACACATTATAGACTTATAATTGACTTAGGGTCCCTTAAGGTTGGGGTTCAACCTTTTGGAAGAATAATTGAATTAAGGTGATCACTGTTCAGATTCATAACCGGTGATTCTCGATTTTGGAAAATGACGAATAAATTGGTTCAAATCGTTTTTTTTTTTAAATAGTCTAAATTTAAAAATTATTTTTTAAACAATTTTTCATTTTGAAATAAAAAAAACAGTTATATAAGATATTTAAACTTTAAGTTAAACTAAAAAATAAAAATAATTTTAGACTTACATTTAATTTTATCAATATTATAAGTTACCTACGTATCTTGGTAAAATTAAGTGCAAGTTCAAATTTTTATTTATTTATTTTAGTTTAACTTTAACATTTAAATATTTGATATAACTTTTTTTTTTTAAAATAATAATTCTAGAATTACAAATTTATTTTAAAAGTTGTTGAATTTGGACTATTTTAAAAATAGAAAATATAATTTATTAAAAAAATTTGATTTGAACCAACCTTTCAAATCCGAACTTTGAGTTCGCCATTTTTTAAAATTGTGAATTGTTAGTTCGGAAATGGAATCACAGTGACCACTAAAATCAGCAATAACCTATTGTTAAACCGCTAAAGAAGATAAAAAGAGTCTAATTGCATCATTTTTTCAAATTTAATGACTTATTTAGAGTTTGATAGCTTAATTGCAATTTTTATAAAAATTGAATGAGTTTTTTTAAAAACTTTATAAATTAAATAACTTATCTGACTTATTCGAAAAAAACAAGAAAACTAAAAGAGACTATAGTCGGCGGCTCATATGTAATTTGGCAGTCTCTTAGGGACAAAATTGTCAAATTGTACCTGATCGGCTCCTCCTCTGGGCTCGCGAAACCCTATTTCCGTCAGTGTCAACCATTTTTATGTTATCCGAATTTTCCTAACATTTTTCTCTGCAGAATCCAAACCCTAACCCCAGTTCTTTTCAGAAAGCATAGCTCGTGTTCATCGTCAGATTTGACTAGGTAAGAATAAAAATCAAAGGTTTCTTGTTGGTTTTTCTTTTATAGCTCGTATTCATAAAAGTTCTATTTGCTTAATTCATTTATTATATATACTTGAAGACTCTTCACGCTCAGATTTTGGTGTTCTCAATCTTGTGTTGCTTCGATCTGTGCTTTGGTATGTAGAATAAGCAGCAAATGGGAGAAAACAAGGAGAACGACGCTTACGAGGAGGAGCTTCTCGACTACGAGGAAGAAGACGAAAAAGCCCCCGATTCCGTAGCCGCTAAAGTCAACGGCGAGTCCGCCAAGAAGTGAGCTTCACCTTGATCTCAACTTTCTGTTTACCGTTTGATCTGTTATTTGTTGTGTTGGGGAATGAAGTTTTATAGTTCTAAATCTGAAAGTTAATTTTAAAAAATATTTCTTTAAGCTGATAGAATTTATATATTTGTATAAATTTGTTTTCTTATTTTAATGTATACTACCGAAATTTCATTGTATTTGTATAGATTTGTTTTCTTATTTTATATAAACATTTTAAATCTGGAATTTTATTGAATTTGTTTCACTAAATGTATCACTGTAAGGTAGTACTGTATGTCTATATTGTACCCTGTTTATACAGTTTTTTTTTTTTTTTTTTTTTTTTTGGGTTAAATAAATAATTTTTGAAAGAGTTAAAGTGCTGTGTACCTATCTTTACCATTTATGTTTATAGTCCAGACAAAGCAAAAGACAAAGACGTAAATCCCTTGGAATTATATATACTGGTTTAGCATTTAGGATGTTCACTATACATGATAGTTTAAAGTGATGGTCTTTATTTTTAATTTTTGTTCAAGTTTCATGTTTAATTGCTCTGCACTAATCAATGGTTATTTGAATTGCAGGGGATATATTGGAATTCACAGCTCCGGTTTCAGAGATTTTCTACTAAAGCCAGAGCTACTGCGAGCCATTGTGGATTCAGGGTTTGAGCATCCATCTGAAGGCAAGTCCATTTAACTTTTGATATTCTACTTAAAATTGTGTTTTGATTGTTATAATAACCTCATCTGGCCTATGTTTCAAACTTTTAGTTCACCTTAACAGCTAAATTCTCTTGTTATGGTTAAACTCAGTTAATGCCCATTTTATTTAGATGTGCTGCCTTGTCATTTTTGGTGTTTATCCTTAGTTTTCTAGTACATTACTAAAGCACGTGTTTTTTAAGTGAGTGGAGTTTTATTTGTATTTGCCCTTGCAATTGCACTGTATAGATACAATATAAACATATAATCCTATGGAACATCACCAAACAATATAAGAAGGGAAGAATATTGTTTATAAAGTATAAACAGTGTTACCTCTAAAACACCTTTGGAAGGTACTGATATTTGGTGAATGAATGATTTTGTTGCATGCCACCTTTTGGAAACTACAACATTAGTCTGTTGATTGTTGCTATTGAACTGAAATTGGTTTGTCTTCAAATATTCAAACATTCCCTGATATTTACATTGGTTGAGGGAATACACTATATAGTTTTAGAATATGGTTGAGTATATTACTGTTTTCTTTTATTAGTATGCAATATTAAAATATATAATTCTAAGATGTTTGAATAAGTTGGCTCTTTTACCATACATGCTACACTTTTTATTAATTAGACTTTCTGACAGTGTATATGATTAGGTTTGTGAATCTTTTATGTTAGAATTACTATGGGCACTTTACTATTTACAGCTGTTCTTTACTATTTTATGCCTTTTGTTTTCAGGTAAATAATTATTATCACTACTACTTTGGAGACGTACAATGGTAAACTTTTTTAACTGAAACTGAGGCTTCCTTGGCTCCGTTCTATTTGGCTCTTCAGTGCAACATGAATGCATTCCCCAAGCTATTTTGGGTATGGATGTAATTTGCCAAGCCAAATCTGGAATGGGGAAAACTGCAGTATTTGTTCTATCAACTTTGCAACAGATTGAACCCGTTGCTGGTCAAGTTGCTGCCCTAGTTCTATGTCATACCAGAGAATTAGCTTATCAGGCATGTCTTTATACATTGCTTTGAGTTGGAGTTAAAAGCTTGCTTATTTGTGATATCAAGTAATTTGATTATTTCTTTTGATTGTTCTGCAGATCTGTCATGAATTTGAGAGGTTCAGCACATATTTGCCTGATATCAAGGTTGCTGTTTTTTATGGTGGTGTTAACATAACAATTCACAAGGATCTTCTAAAGAATGAATGCCCTCACATTGTTGTTGGAACTCCTGGAAGAATTCTTGCATTATCAAGGGAAAAGCATCTTTCCTTGATGAATGTGAGGCATTTTATACTTGATGAATGTGATAAGATGCTTGATTCACTTGGTATGGCACAGTGGTGTTTTCTGCTCTTATGTCTGGTTTTCCATTTTTTGACAACGTTCTTTTGACTCGTGATATTTTTCTGATTCTTTGTGGTTACATGTTTTATTACAGACATGAGAAGAGATGTTCAGGAGATTTTCAAGATGACTCCTCATGACAAACAGGTGATGATGTTCTCAGCAACTCTCAGCAAGGAGATTCGTCCAGTTTGCAAGAAGTTTATGCAAGATGTAATGTCCTGTGGCCAATTCTTCTTGAATTTAGACGTCTGCCGTTTTTTCCATAATTTCAGCTTTGTGCAGGCGCTACTTGCCTAACTTTATCAATTCAACATCAATCCAACTTGAAATTGTAGATTGGATTTAACGAGGACAGAAACCACCATCCATTATGGGCATTTGGGGATACAATTTGCTTCTGCAACTAAGCTTTTGGGTCCCACTGTTTATGTCATCGGTCTTTGTTTTCATCTGTTTACTTTTTATTTTTTTATTTTTTTTCCCTTGGAGAAATGAGGCGTGAAGTATCAAATTGGGGGGATGTTCGAGCCAAGATTTTAGTGGGTTGGGGTTATTAGGTAAATAGGTAGTGTATGTGTTGTTGTCAAGTGTCTTACCCGGAGTCTTTGTAAGCTGTGTGGTATCGCTTTGAGCAACAAACAATAAGTGTTGGTGTGATTTAAAGCCATATGCACGGAGTAATTCCTCAGATGAACAAGAACCTCAAAACGGATGTTCATCCATCGTTCATTTCCTACTGGGTTCCATTAGATACATGAAGCTCCTAATATGCTTTACTATGACGTTTATTCCTTTCAGCCAATGGAGATTTATGTTGACGATGAGGCCAAATTGACTCTTCATGGACTTGTACAGGTAAACATTTGGTGTTTACATAGTTTTTGCGTTTTAGTTTGGTATCTGTGTTTATATTATTTTTTTTCCTATTATTTTTGGCAGCACTACATCAAATTGACAGAAATGGAGAAAAATCGGAAGCTGAACGACTTGCTTGATGCTTTGGATTTCAATCAAGTAGTTATCTTTGTCAAGAGTGTGACTAGAGCGGCTGAGCTGAACAAGTTACTTGTTGAGTGTAACTTTCCATCTATCTGCATCCACTCTGGGATGTCCCAGGAGGAGAGGTCAGTGCAACTTCTGGACTAGGATTTAAAAGGCTGAACTGAAGAATCTGCCTCTTTGTTTTGATACTAGTGTAATACCATTGTGGAAAGTTTAAGGGCTATGTTTTCAAATGCCCTAATTTTCTTGTTGGTGGAGAGAGCAGATGCACTTGTGCAGCAATTATCCTGATTTTATGATGGAGAAAAACTGGACTTCCTTTTTTTGTTTTTTAAAATTCAAATTTCCCTTTGCAGATTGACACGCTACAAGGGTTTCAAGGAGGGGCATAAGAGGATTCTTGTGGCAACTGATTTGGTTGGCAGGGGCATTGATATTGAACGGGTTAACATTGTCATTAACTATGACATGCCTGATTCTGCTGATACGTACCTTCATAGAGTATGCAATGTCTTCCATTATCTACTTCTTTTTATGTAAAACTCCTATTAAAATGTAAATCTAGATAACTTATCATTATTTTTTTTTTCTTTTTCGTTGTGAAAAAAATGATAGGTTGGTAGAGCTGGAAGGTTTGGCACCAAAGGTCTTGCAATTACATTTGTTTCTTCTTCATCAGATTCAGATGTACTCAACCAGGTACTTTAATTGAGTATCGTGATGTATTGTCTCCAAGTTTTTCACGATTCTAATATAAAATTTCAACTTTATAGGTTCAAGAAAGATTTGAAGTCGATATCAAAGAGCTTCCTGAGCAGATTGACACATCCACATATAGTATGATCTCTCCCTTTTGCTTGTTTAGGTTTTCCAAATATCTTCCTTTATTGGACTGTTTGAACATTTCGTACTGTTATGTTAGATCTAACATTGATAAAGGATTGTAAAAGTCAATGATAATGTTCTAGCAAACCAGTTTAAGATATATTACATCACGAAGCATTATCATTGTACTCATCGTGTAACTAATTTTATGCAGTGCCATCCTAGAGAAGTTGGCTGGCATCCTCTCCAATAGCGCCCCAAGGTTTTCTTGAATGATGCAGAATGAAAGGGGAGCAAACTGCTGGCGTTTTTTGGCTTTTGTTGGTCTGTACTATTAAATGGTTGAATCAATTATTTTCAGAGATACTAGTGGCCTTTGGCAACTCTCTGCTTTAATCATCCTGTCATTACTGTACCCTTTAATGAAACATAGCTGGTTTAGCCGATTGTACTAAGCTTGTATTAACCTCAAATCTTCAATCTATTTGCTGGTTAAATCTGTATTAAGTTAATCAGGATCATTTGAAAAATCTTTAGGAACAGATGTCTCAACAAATATATTCACTCTTGTCTGTATTTGTGGGATCCTATAATTTTTGTTGTGTCACTAGGAATTTAAGCACTAAACCATTTAAACGTACGTGCCGTTCTAGTTATTAACTTATTATAGGTTATGTTGTGCTTAGGGGTGGAAACAATGGTTAAATACGATCGTTATATGGTGGATCATGGTTTAAATAGTTCTGGATCATGGTCTAATAGATATAGTTGATAGTTCTGGATCATGGTCTAATATAGATATAGTTGAAAGAAACAATTGTTGTTATCGTGAACAAGTCAGTCACATTTATAGTTGTTATGATGAATTTATTGTGTATATATATTAAATGAAACTGAATAGTAGTACTCATAAAAATAGGTATGTTGTCAAATTAACTTAAAATGATACTTCAATATAAGACTGTTAACAAACCGAATACAAACAGAGGTTTTTAGGCACATATTTCTGGTTTTGGGACCATTTTTTTAGGCATCGAAGAATAACTTATCAAAAGTTCAAAATGCGAACTAAATGAGAACTGAGGAGAAGATGGATTGGATCGTAGGAATGGTAAGGAAAATATAATTAAAATTTAAAAAATTAAGCTAAACTAAAGTATTATCTTAATTTTTTTTTAAAACACTTAAATGAGCATGTTCGTGAAACTGTTTTAAACGAACACTTTTTTTTTTTGAAGGCAACCATAATGGTTATTTTATAGATATGCAAAAATAGAATCCGGGGGAACTATGTCCCAATACATAGCTGTAGTATAATCAAAAGCAGTAGAAGCTAAACTATGTGCTAAAAAATTCTGAGATCTAGGCACGAAACTAATAATAGTAATGTCAAAAGTCGATACTTGTAAAACGTATCCTACGTATGATCGGGGTATATGCATAGATGAAGTTAATTGCCGTTGTAATGGATGACAATCTGTAAATACTCGTACTCGCTGTTCGCCACGATCTCGAAGCCATGCAAGCGCCTCTTTGCATGCCATTGCTTCGGCCATTAGGGGGGAAAAGCGTGCTGTGAGTGGAGCACAAAATGCCGAAAGATAGTCGCCATTGGCCGTGAAGAGGACTGCACCTGCTGCTGCCGTGCTTGTTCAATGTTTGTACCCAGCGTCGATATAGCACAGGACTGGTTGCGGTTGCTGGGGGTGTTGTGGTGCTCCGGCATTAGGTAGTGGTTCGTGCGGCGGCAAGATAGGCTGCTGTGATGAGGCTAGGCCATCGGCGGGAGGCGGGTGGGCCGAAGGCGGCAGTGCGGTTGGCCGGTGGACACGGGTCCATGGTGGACGTTGTGGTAGCAAGGACTCTCGTGGGTCTTTGGAGGCAAGCATCCCAAACCGCTCCGTTTCGTGCTCTCCATAGGTGGTAGAGGAGGGCAGCTGCGAACATGATCCCATCAGAGTCTAGAACATTTAATAATGCACTAAACCATTCATGAAAAATATTTGTTATAATATTAGGGATTGGGAGGTTAGATCGTGCCCATATGGCCTTTGCATAGTCACATGATACCAATGAATGCATTATATTTTCATGATCCACCCCACACATAGCACACACCGGCTCAACCTCAACCCTCTTTAAAAGTAGATTATCTGTTGTAGGGAGGATACCACTCAAAGCTCTCCATAAAAATATTTTTCATTTGGGTGGAATTTTCAGACCCCATAGTTTAAGCCATTTATCATGACTTTCATCAGCCAGGGCACCATAATTTCCAACTATCAATTTGTATCCATCCTTCACCGAATAATTCCCATTTGGGTTTCCATGCCAATACCATGTGTCCTCATAATCTGGTGAGATTGGTATTTTCGAAATTCTAGGCACATCATCTGGTTCGAAAATGTCGGCTAAAATCTGCTGGTCCCATTGGCCTGTTTCCTGATCAATTAACCCCACCACTTTAGATCCAGCCAATGTTACGGTTGCTCGGAAAAGAAAAGGAAAATTAAGAAGAACGTGATGTGTATTTTCATTAACCCCCTCTCAACTGAAGAAGACAGTTTAAGTAGTTACAAGGCTACAACTAACAAGGGCAAAAAGGACAATTCCTGTTATAACTGCCTAACTACTAACTGCCGATATCAAACGCTGCGTTTTGGCTTGAGGTTTGTTACAATACCCTTCCCTTTAGCACAACCTTGTCCTCAAGGTTTAAAGTTGGGAAATTGAGCCATACGGTGATGAAATTCCTCCCAAGTTGCTTCCTCAGTGGACAAGTTAGCCCATTGTACTAATACTTCCACCATAGCAGCATTATTTTTCTTCAGAATTCTCCTCCCTAGAATTGCAACTGGTTCTGTCAACATTTGTCCATCAGGACCAGTTATAGGTGGATCTGCTTGTGCTTGTTTCCCATGACCAACCCTTCTTTTGAGCTGAGATACATGAAAGACTGGATGTATCAAGGCCCCTGCAGGAAGCTTCAATCTATAGGCCACTTGGCCTATTTTTTCCAATATTTCATAAGGCCCATAGAACTTGGAGCTGAGCTTAACATTCCTTCTAACAGCCATGGTGACTTGTTTGTAAGGCTGTAACTTGAGGTAAACCATATTTCCCACTACAAATTTTCTTTCAGATCTGTTTCTATCTGCATAATGCTTCATCCTTTGCTGTGCTAACCTCAAATTTTCTTTCAGTATGGACAACATCTGTGTCCTATCTTTGAACCAGTTTTCTGACCTCTCATCTGCGACCCTGGTTGCATCATTGACAGCCCATTGGGGGGGGGGGGGGGGGGAGATACCCATACAAGGCTTGGAAAGGAGACATCTTTAATGAGCAATGGTGATTTGTATTGTACCAGTGTTCTGCTAGTGCAAGCCATCTTTCCCACTGCTTAGGTTTATGGGAGCTCATGCACCTTAGGTAGGTTTCTAAGCACCTATTAATCCTCTCTGTTTGTCCATCTGACTGAGGGTGGTAAGAGGAGCTCATGTGTAGCTGAGTTCCCATTCTCTTGAAGGTTTCCTTCCAAAATTTGCTGAGGAAAATCTTATCTCTGTCTGATACAATCCCTTGTGGTATACCATGTAGTTTATACACATTTTCCATGAAAAGATTGGCCACCTCCTCAGCAGTAAAAGGTTGGGATAAGCTCATGAAGTGGGCATACTTTGTGAGCCTGTCCACCACCACCATTATAACATTTTTATTCTTGGACTTGGGAAGTCCTTCAATAAAGTCCATAGGATGAGATAAGGATCACCGTTTCTATTCCCAACACAATAGAGATTACAGAACTGCAATCTAAATACAAAGCGTTAACTAATCCTATTAACTAGGAAAGCCTTAAATACCTAATCTAATATAAGACTAGTCAAAACTAATATTACAAATAATAACATAAATAATAACATTACTAACACACCCCCTCAAGCTCAAGAGTGGTGCGCAACAATGTTGAGCTTGTCACGTAGATCTGCAAAGCGAGGTCCTGGCAACGGTTTAGTAAATATATCTGCAAGCTGATCCTTTGTCGAAACAAAATTAACAACCAAGTCTCCCGACGCCACCTTGTCTCGAACGAAGTGGAAGTCAATCTCCACATGCTTGGTCCTGCCGTGAAACACTGGGTTGGCACAAAGATAGGTAGCACCCAGATTATCGCACCAGAGTGTAGACGGCTCTCCCGAGTGTAACCCAAGCTCACGAAGAAGGGAAACTACCCAGGTGACTTCTGCAGACACATCGGCGAGGGCCTTATACTCAACTTCAGTTGAGGACCGGGCTACTGTGCGTTGTTTCCGAGACAGCCACGAGATGAGATTGTTACCGAGAAACACAGCATATCCACTAGTACTCTTCCTGTCGATCGGACAACCAGCCCAGTCCGAGTCAGAAAACCCGTGAGTAGTGGATGAAGTAGAAGCGGAGAGGCGCAGACCGTATGAGATAGTGCCTTTGATGTACCGTAGTACACGCTTCAATAAACCCCAATGATCACTGGTTGGCGAATGCATAAACTGACACAGTCGATTGACAGAGAAGGACAAGTCAGGACGGGTGATAGTCAGGTACTGCAGTGCCCCAACTAGGCGACGGTACTGCGTCGGATTGTCGAATGGTTCATCAGACGAAGTCATTGGCTGAGTGACAGCAGAGGGAGTGGCCAGTGGCTTGCAATCCGTCATGCCAGCCCGCTTGAGAATGTCTCTCATGTAACGTTGTTGCGATAGTAACAACCCCGTGTCATCTTTTAACGTCTCGATCCCAAGAAAAAAACTAGGTACTCCAAGGTCTCGGATTTTGAACGTTGTTGATAGGCGTTGTAATAATTGAGAGATGAGCACATGATCGTTTCCCATAATTATTATGTCATCGACATAGACAAGTAAGTACACACGTGATGCACCAGTAGAGTAGTGAAACAGGGACACATCTGTTTTTGAGGATAAGAAACCTGCAGAAAGCAAAAATTCATGCAAACGCTTAAACTAAGCCCGTGGCGCTTGTTTAAGCCCTTACAGCGACCGTTGAAGATGACACACATGATCCGGATGTGTCGGGTCTTCGTACCCCGGTGGCTGTTTCATGTAAACAGTTTCAGCTAAATGTCCATTTAAAAAGGCATTGTGGACGTCTAGCTGTCGCATAGTCCAGTCGCGTGATACTGCAAGAGCAAATAACAGACGAACAGTAGTCGGTTTGACTACGGGACTAAACGTGTCAAAAAAGTCTTCACCAGCCACCTGGTTAAACCCTTTAGCCACAAGTCGTGCTTTGTACCGCTCCACCGAGCCATTAGCATTCCATTTGGTGCGGAACACCCATTTGCATCCTACCACATTCATGTGTGGCTCAACCGGTACAAGTTTCCAAGTATCATTATGTATAAGAGCGTTAAACTCTTGATCCATAGCATCTCGCCACTGCAGATGTCCAACTGCCTGTGAGTAACAGGTTGGATCTACAGTCACAGTCAAAGCATGAAACTGTTCATCAATGCCCTTTGTTTGACGCCGTAGTCGCATAACATGTGCTCGTTCTTGTACTTGTGGGCGAGCCTTTCGGGTTCGTGCACGCGGTGGCTCAGTCCGAGCCTGAGCCGGCCCCTCTCGAGCCAAGGGTGGTGGCTCTTGAGCCAATGGTGTAGGACTGTTTGTACTAGCACGAACCGCTTCATTTAACACCTCCTCACTCGGTGTTGATTCATGAGTCACAAGTGGCGCAACAGCCCACGGAGCAGCTGTAGTGTTTGTTTGAGTGTGTTGAACTCCTGTTGAGTCTGAAAAGGGAAAAACAGACTCGTCAAAACGCACATGGCGACAGGTATAGATTTTTCCACTCGTTAGGTCCATGCATCTATAACCCCTAAAGCTGGGTGAGTAACCTAAGAAGACACACGGTGCAGAGCGATACTATATCTTGTGCCGATTGTAAGGCCGTAGATAGGGATAACACTTGCACCCAAAGACTCGAAGAAAAGTGTATGGGGGTGGAGTTTTGTGTAGGCGTGTGTATGGGTTATCAAACTGTAAGACTGGTGTTGGTAGATAATTAATTAGGCAAGTAGCCGTTTCAAAAGCAAAGTCCCAGTATTGTAGGGGAACTGAGCCTTCAGCTAGCAGCGCTAAGCCGGTTTCAACAATGTGCCGGTTTTTGCGCTCAACTTTACCGTTTTGCTCGTGCGTGTATGCACATGACTGACAGTGAATTATACCTAGTTGGGTGAAAACGTTATGTAATTTACGATATTCCCCACCTAGGTCCGATTGAATAGATTTGATAGAACGCCCGAATTGGCGCTCTACCATGACACGAAACAACTCAAAAATTTTATATATGTCTGATTTTACCCGTAAGGGATAAAACCAGCAAAAACGTGAGTAATCATCTACAAATAGCACGAAATATCTAAAACCACTAGTAGAGATTACAGGGGACGGACCCCAAATATCTGTAAATAACAAGTCTAATACATTTTCACTAGAGTGATTGACCCTATCTAGTGGAAATCTAGAAGCCTTGCCAAGGTGACACGAGGCACACGACCCCAACGACTCGGTTTTATTTGATGCTACCGGACACGATTTTAGGACGCAATTTTGAACATGGCCATTTGGATGTCCCAAGCGACGATGCCAAACAGTGGGAGTTGCCCGGGCCAAATCATATGCGAAATGGGATTGCGAAACTGGGAGCTTGTATAAGCCGCCCGACGTGAAACCTTTAAGCAGAACCGCCTTGGTGATTGTATCCTTCACAATAAAACAATTCTTGTGAAATTCAACAAAAACATTATTTTCATTAGTAAGGCGATAAACATACAGTAAAGGTACAGACAATTTTGGGACATGCAACACATTTGACAAACGTAACAATTTTGACGCAGATGGTATAGTAGCATGGCCAACGCGTGAAATTATCAAACCTGTCCCATTACCCACACGGAGAACATCGCCTCCGGTATACTCGTCGGACTGCGACATCATGGATGCGTCCGGGGTGGCATGTGCCGTTGCCCCAGTGTCAGGAAACCAGCTGGATGCCGTGGAAGCCGCCGCCGAGTCTTCGCCGGAAACCACCATATTGGCCTGAGGTGTCGGCTGCGGCGCATAGCGCTTGTAACAGTAGAGGGCAGTGTGCCCTTGTGCACGACAAATTTGGCAGCGCGGCGCTCCGCCATGACCTCCACGCCCGCGCCCTTGTCCTCCCCGGCCTCTGTTCGAAGTGTTGCGGCCACCAGTCCCGGAGCCGCCTCGCCCGCTTTCACCACCGCCACGATGACCTCGCCCGGCGAACATAGCAGCCGGAGCAGAGATCATTCCAGAGTCAGGCCCGGCCGGATAGTCATCTGAATAAATAAATTCCTGCGCTCGCAGGTAGTCGGCGATTTGCGGGATTGTGACGGGTGTTCCTGTCGCGGTAAGGGAGGACGCCATGACGCGATATTCTGGACGCAGACCGCGGAATACGAACAGATTCTGTTCGTCCAGCGAGATGGGGCGTCCAGCATGTGCGAGATCCTCTACCAAGAGCTGGGCGCGGCCCAAATATTCTGCCGCCGTGCTATTTCCCTGCCGGAGGGAATGAAACTGGCCCAGTAGACTAAGGCACCATGCGCGCGTCGAGCTCCCGAGTGCTGCTCCGATGGATTCCCAAACGGCTTGAGATGTGGTCTTCCCAACTGCTAAATGCATGACCTCATCGGAGAGCGATGAGATCAACAGGGAGAAAAGAGCTTGGTCCTGCTTGACCCACGCCCGGTAAGTAGGATTCGGAACTGGCGTGGCCGTGGTGGCGTCGGACGCGGATTCGCCGGTGGCCGGAGCAGCAGGGATGGTTGGCGGTGGGCATGGTGTCTCGCCGTCGACGTAGCCGAGGAGCTCCTGGCCACGGAGGAAGGACACCAGTTGCGTTCGCCAAAATAGAAAATTGCGATACGTCAACTTGATAGACACAAAATGATGTGCGCCTGAGAGGGAATTTGCGGAGGGGTTTTGCGGTGGGATCGCCGGCAGTCACTGTTCGTTCAAACGAATTAGTGGACATGATGAATGGCCGGCGGTCGTTTGTGGTGGAGCTTACGATCGTGTGAGATCGAAGAGAGAGAGAGAGAGGAAAGAGAAACGAGACTGGACTGATACCAGATGAGATAAGGATCACCGTTTCTATTCCCAACACAATAGAGATTACAGAACTGAAATCTAAATACAAAGCGTTAACTAATCCTATTAACTAGGAAAGCCTTAAATAACTAATCTAATATAAGACTAGTCAAAACACATAGATATCTGAGTCCATGCTTGATTAGGAATTGCTAGGGGCTGCAATAACCCAGGAGTGTGCACATTCTCGGATTTGTTTCTTTGGCAATTGTCACACCCCCTCACAAACTGCTTGACTTGTTTCTTCATACCCTTCCAGTAGAAGATTGCCCTTAATCTGTGGTAAGTCACTTGAGTTCCAGAGTGTCCCCCTAGGGCAGAATTGTGGAATTCTGTGATCAGTTTCCCCCTTAACTCCTCATTGGATCCAATCACTAGCCTGCCTTTATGTTTGAGCAGTCCATTTTCCAATCTCATGGCTGGTACAGAGTTTGGATCTAACAAAATAGCAGCAATTGTCTGTTGCACCCAATCATCCTTAGCATAGCTCTGCAATATCTCTTCTAACCATAAGGGTTTCAGGTTAGATATGGCACAACAGTTCCCTTCTTCTTCTTTTCTGGAAAGTGCATCAGCTGCAGTGTTGTCCCTTCCTCTCTTATAAACAATAGAGTAATCTAAGCCTAATAGCTTAGTCAGTCCCTTTTGCTGGATCACAGTAGTAATTTTCTGTTCTAGCAAGTATTTCAAACTTTGATGATCAATTTGGATAGTGAAATGCCTGCCTTGGAGATAGGGCATCCATTGATCTACTGCATTTATTATGGCCAAGTACTCCTTCTCATAGATGGACCAGCCTGCATCAACACTGCTCCAATTCCTTTACAACATGCATCCGCTTCAACCACAAATTCCCTCTCAAAATTAGGCATGGCTAGTACTGGTGCTGAGCACATGGCTATCTTCAATTTTTCAAAAGCCAATTGTGCTTCATCAGACCATTAGAATCCATTTTTCTTGAGTAAGTCTGTCAGTGGTCTACATATGGCTCCATATCCTCTTATGAACCTTCTATAGTATCCAGTGAGCCCCAAGAACCCTCTTAAAGACTTGACTGTTGAAGGTTTTGGCCAAGACATCACAGCTGCTATCTTTGTAGGGTCAGTAGCTAAGCCCTCTCTGGTCAAGATATGCCCTAGATACTCAACTTGTTTCTGGCCAAAGAAACATTTACTTCTCTTGGCAAACAGCTGGTTTTCCCTTAACAATTGCAGGGTGATGGACAAATGTTCCAGATGTGCATCTAACCCTTGACTATAAACCAGAATGTCATCAAAGAATACAAGAATAAATTTCCTCAAGTGGGGCATAAATACCTCATTCATTAGAGCTTGGAATGAGGCTGGGGCATTGGTGAGCCCAAATGCCATTACCCTGAATTCATACAAGCCTTGGTGTGTCTTGAATTCAGTCTTGAATTCTTCCCCTTTTCTCATTCTGATCTGATGATAACCAGCCCTCAAATCTATCTTTGAGAAGTGTGTGGAGCCTGATAGTTCAGAGAATAATGATAGGAATATTTTTGTATGTTTTGATGAGTCAAATGTATC